TGGAGTTTACAAACCATCCTACAACTGTGTAGTTTTCTTGCATCCCCTTCTCATAGACAGGGTTATCCTCCTTGGGTTCCTTCTTACTCCCTCCATTTCCCTCTACTACAGACATGGATCCTCCTTGGGTTATCCTCCTTGTGATTACTACTGCTCCTAACATGGTCTCCATAGACCCTCTCTGGCCAAACCTAGAGTCTGTAGGTTGTTTTGTCTCACCTCCAGTTTGCTCTATTGGCTGAATGGAAGCAAACGAAAATAAAAATAAGGTGCCACTAATCAGGAACAACTAACCTAAATTAAAAACTACTACTCAATCACCCCAAACTAGGGTTTCACAGAACCTAACAACCCGAGAGAAAGAGAGAAAGTGTAGCCGCTAAGGCCAAGAACTCCAACCTTAATCGATCTCAATGTAGGTCAAAAAACTTCTCTTCAAGCCCAGTGCCAACATTAATTTGTCTTCAGATCCCTTAATACAATTTCACTAGTTAGTTAGGGTGCTTGAGAAAAATCTCCAAGAACTTATCTTGGGCCTCAAACTAAGACTGTATTCTTCTACAAAGACCTCCCATTAACAGTGTGTATGGAGAATCAGCCAATCGATTCTCCATACACATTGTTAATGGGCCTAAAGAAAGAAATTGAAGAAGGTGGGAACCTGCTTTGATACCAAGTTGTAAATCACACATGCAATAAATCTGAAAATAAACCAAAAGAAAAGAAGAGGAAGTTCAGTCGAAGAAAGAGAAAAAAAGAACAGAGCTAATTGATGTTGTAATTTGGATACAATTACAATGATGCCCTTAGTAGGGCGGTCAGCTCAATAATGGTAATAAGAATAAAAAACCAGGCCCATAATTAAGGTGCACTAATAAAACATAAACACCACTAAAATAAAAGAAATGAACTAAGGTCCATTTGGCCTTGTAAATCTGAAGGTTAGAAAATCAGCAAATGAAGTTGCAGACTGCATGGAAAAACTGTTGAAAGCCCGAACCTGTTACAGTTGCTGGCCAAATTTTGAAAAAATTCCAGCCTAACCTGAGAACTGATTTCTCGATATTTTGAAATCTAAATTTCTAGATCAATCTTACATTGAACTGGACCAGATTTGAAACCAGATTTTTGAGTAGATCATACCTGATACGGAGTCTACATTATGTAGCTTCTAGAGTGGTGATTCATGCCCAATATCAGACCTAAATTGGCCTCCAACTGAAGATGGTGCAGTTGTATGTTTGAAGTTGATTCAACAATGTTATTTCTGCAAAACCGAGCTCCAACCTCCTTGGAATCTGCAGCTATGTGAACTGAAGTTCTTTGATGTTTTTCTCCAAAAACATAGTAGAGGACTAATGAGAATCAGCCCTCACTGTGGCTGGTTCGAACTAGAGTTTTTGGGTCAAAGGATAAGAGAAAGAGTGCAAGAGAGTGGAGAGAAAGGGATAGTTCGCCCCCTCCCTCTAACCATCTTATATAGAGCACTCTCCTAATTCTATTAGGAGTTAATCCAAATCAGATTTGAATTAGGAGTTCATCCAAATCAGATTTGGATTAGGACATTATCTTCTTAAGAGAATGGGTGCTCCATACCCATTTCCAAACCGAAATTTGACCCATGTGATGTGACCTTTTAAACCAATCTTATTAGTAATGGGCCTAAGACCCATTTTCTTTAATAGTTCACATAAATAGGCATTGCATGGCCTCGTAGGCCTGAATATTGTATGGCGTGGGACCCATAAAGGTCTCACACAAGTTCAAATGGGCTCAACCAATCTCTGGAAAGGGGCATGCCAAATTCACTACTTAAGGGTTGTGAGCCCTTGAGCCAATCAAGTTGGGCTCAATCTGGGCTCAACACTTAAACATAAATGATCATTGGATTCAGCCACCCTATGAAAACCCAAGGATAATGTACTTGTGTAAGATAAAGCCCATCATCAACCCTCTAATGGTCTCTTGCCCATAACCTTTCAACCCTTAATAATTAAAACATTGCTCATAGGGAAGGAATTCTTCCTTGACTGCTTGATGTAGTGTTACACTCTTTGCTTAGATGGATATATACATTTTGCAAAATTGATTTTAAATGTTGTTGAAATCCATTGTTGGCAGTTTTAGGTTTTCATCAGAGATGGTAAACCCTGATATTCACTTTGTCTGACGAAGGGGCTGATCCAATCACTATGATCACCTACCCAGGTAATGTCTTAAATTGCTCTCACATACCTAGGTATTTGACCCTAGTTGGATATCACTAGTTGGCATATAAAAAATAGCTTAGTCCAAGACCTAGTGCAGTATCATAATCATGTTTGGGGTTATGGGCAACTTTTCAGTTTTGCCCATTTGTCTCTAAGGTTCAGGGCATAACTGGAAATTGGTTCAGGTTTAGTTCTTCCAAACACCCATTAATTGTACTTGGGTCTAACCCTAGCAGTTGGGACAAACTGCTCCAATTTGGAAACACACCAATGTTAGCCTTGTTAGGATAAACTCCCCAAGTATATCTAATGGCTGAGAATATTTTAAATTTAAACTAACATAAGTCTCATAAGTGTCCAGTTTAAAGGGCAACTCACATAAACATACCAATCTGAACATGGAGATGCATGGGAGTTGTTTGTGTACATCAATTTAATTGGAGCTAAGGGCATATATTGCCTAACAAAACAAGGCAATGCATGGATACCAATTGTTATGGGCTGACTTGTAAATTCAGTTGATAAACTTGGGCATCTGGATAGCTTTCCAAATTGTTGCAATCTCTCTAATCTTTAATCAATAAAAGTGTTTCTTATAAAAAAAGGTATTAGTTCAAATTACACTTCCAGCCTTAAAATTAGAGGGACTAAGTTCAAAATTAGGGGTATTTGAATCAACAAGAAAAGTTTCCCACCCTCTTTTCAAGTTAAGATAATTTGGTTAGCTTCAACTTCTCCAGATATTTGGTTACCTAAAAGTAAGAAATATGAAATGCATTGGTGTAGAAGTAAAAGTTGGACTTTCTCAATAGGTGTTCCTCTCTTTTTTGTTACATCTAGGGAAAGAAAGGAAAAAATGTCACGTGGAGATGCATGGGAGTTGTTATGCTTTGGATGTTGAGGGAGGAAAGGAATACTATGCTATCCATGTGCAAGGAGTGTATTTCTGAGTACAAAAAGTACCATTACAATTTAGACTTGCCGCTTATCTGGATGATTTCAGTGACTTTTCTACAGAAGACATATTTCAGCGACATGTGATTATTACATCTATATCCTGACAGGACTTGGATCAGGTGATCAAAGCTTGTCCTGTACTTGGGATGTGGTGGGATAAATTTTAACTGCTTAGTCCTTGGATAATCCAGGGCCATCAGACATATCAGATATAAGATGCATTTATGGTTGGTACTGGCGAGATCTTATTAACGTTGTTCAAACTGATTGGTGAGGGACTACAGCTACTCTTTGATCTGTAAAAAAAAGCCTTGGTCCAAGTTCCATGGTTAATGACTGTGCTAGATGGTTAACATGGGAAGGAGGTCGAGGGTGTTCCACAAGTAGTTGTTGGTTGGTTTGAAGCATGGGGGACATTCCAATTGCCAACATTATATTAGAGAGATTAGAGCTTTGGTGTCTAATGTAAATATCTCCTTTAGATGGATTTGGATATCAAATAACTCTCTAGCAGATAGTTGTCTATAGGTAGGGGAGGGGTGCTCACGGTTCGGGTAAGTAGTATCGGTTTTAGGAAAACTGGTAATCAGAACCGAATCGAAACCAGTCGGTTAACCAGTTGACCAGTTCGATTCGCTGGTTTTTTGGTTTTTTAGTTTTTATAATATATATTATAAAATATATATTTATATATAATGCATATTTATTAATTTATAATATATAAATTATGCATAAATATATATAAAATATATGGACAAACATGTATACTAGTCAGTTCGGTTAACCGAAACCGAACCAGTCGGTTTGGTTAACTGCTTTTTCGGTTCGGTTTCGGTCGGTTTGGTTTTTTGGTTTTTTTTTTTTGCTCACCCCTATCCATAGGCATAGTTGTACATGTGAGCAGCCCATCCAAAGATGCTTAATGAATGTTGATATTTTTTGGTATTCTGATGCATAGTTTTTAATTACTGTTTGGCCTTTTTCTTAAGAGGCTGCTTGAGGTCTCCTCTAGTAGATGGTTGTATTTTCTTCTTACCTTCATTTGTTGATAAGGATCTTGTATCTGGTATATGATTAAAAAAGGTCTTGCAAATGAATATAGAAGTGATTAAGCACTCATTAACACTTATCAGAAAAAGCACTAATTACATAGTAAAAATTAGGATAGCTAATTGCATTATGCCGAGTTGAGGACTCTAAAAATATTTCAGTCAACATGTTATATATACTTGGTTGCTTTTTCTTGATCAATATTAGCATTTGATTGCTGAAATTTTACCAGTTCATTATCATTCGAATTCCCATTCATTGGGCAGCTACAAGCCTAGAACTGTAGTCTTGAAATTTAATGAATGTTTCTTGGGACCCTAGATAATTGAGAACTTCTTGTGCAGTGTAGTGTGCAAATGTTCTTTTTTGTTTTAAAGCCCTGGGCTAGGCTTATGCAACCTAGTTGGAGCACAACTAATTTGATGTTTTCATTGGCTTAAGCTTCCACCTCCCTCTGGGAAGGATTGACATCAAAGGGATCTTAGATTACATCTTGTTCTTTTTCTTTTTGTTATATATCAAAATGACATTTAATCTTTATTTTGTTTCCTACTAATCCAATATTTTAATAGTGTAAATTTGCAATATTAATTTTCTCCTATAGTCTGGAGGTTGTGCTCTATTTGTTTTTTATCCTATGTTCTTTCACAATTGCTGTTTTATAGTGGTGTTGTTATTGGACTGGGAAGGTCATTAATTCTGTTAAATGAATGGTTTGTTATGATTAGATTTTCCCTAAAATATTAAAAAAAAACAAATTTATTCATTTTCCTTTCAATGCAGTGGACGACATGCTTTAAGATCTCGGCTTCTGGAGGTATCTATCATTTTTCACATTGTGTGCAAAAGTTGGTTTTCTATGTCATGCTTGGGAAGGCTTCAGCGTTGATTGAGCTACATTGACTAAGCTGCTTCAGAGAAGCTACCTAAAATAGCTTCAATGGGAAGTTGATTTTGCAGTTCATGAAAGTTTATTATTGGCTTTTTTGAGTTTTTCACCGAACATGGTTTCATGGATTTCCATGTGGGCCTACATTACAATGCCAAAGGCCACTGCACGAGCATGAAAGACCTCCCAAATGGGCACTTATTTCCCAATGATTAACTAGTTAATTTAGTTCTCACATTTGGAATTTGTATTTATAATTTTCTTTTTTGCACTTTTTCAGCTCGGTTATGAATTAGATAGCAAGGAATTTGATGATTTATTTTGGCGCTTCAAAACAGTGGCTGAGAAAAAAAAGGTGCGGCAATGAAATAATGTCATCCTGTCATTTTCATTTCTTGCTAGAGAGCTAATACCAAATGGTTAGCCCCGGCTCTCTAAGTTCAGTTTTTTTATTTTTTTATGATGCTTAGATTTGAAGAACAGGTTTTAATTTGGAATATCCTAATTTTCTTCAAAAGTGTAACTACTATATAATTAATTTATTTTCTTATCCCAGACAAAAGTTTGTAAAAGGCATTGCATATGATGAAGCAGAATATAGGTCCTTTCTTTTCATTATTAGATATCTGTAGGAAAAGAATCGCAAAGCACAAGAAGGAAGAGATTAAAATTTATTGGCGACACCAGTCATTGTCTTGACCTTTTTACTAGATCTTCTGGGTTAGAGATTTGATGTACTATTTAATGAATGTATAATAGGGATATAAATCTTCTTCACTCGATCTAGTTTACAGGTTGGATATTTTATTTATTATTTAAAAAAGTATAGTAGGGTGAGAAGTAGAACTTTTGCATATGGAATTTTGTCCCTCTTTTCCTTAAATCAATATATTACTTGCAATATTATCTAAAACAGGGAAAAAGTGTAAAGTTTCAGGTTGTTGATTTTTGTTCATATATGGAAAAAGACATCATTGCCTTACTTTTCTGAAGGGAACACTATTTTTATAAGAGGAAAACATAAAATCTCCGTATGCATGATTTCATATGATTTATTTGTCTGACCTTCTATAACAATTGATGGTGTTGCAGCATATTTCTGATGGGGACATAGAAGCATTGATACTAGATGAAATATTCCAGCCACAAGTTGTGTGGTCTCTTGGTGATCTGCAGGTAAATTTATGTTTTATAATATTCTATTGTTTTTTCTTTCTAATAATCAAGGGGTCACCTAGGCATTGCCTGGTAGGTGACCTTTGTTGGATGCCTTTACTTGTAGCAACAATGTGCCCATGTAGGTGACTAGGTTACCTGTCTAGTCAACAAAAACTCAAGCCAGGGACACCATTTTATAATTACTATGGCTGCGTCTTTTCAGTATGTGTGTTAATACATTCTATTTGTATACATAACTCGTATTTTCAGACTCAGTATGTGTTTTGACACGTATATCTTAAGGTTCTGCTGGGGTAGCTGAGGGCCTGAGGCTACTCAAGAGTTGTAATTTTTTTTACCTTTTTTTAATACAATTTATGTTTTCTGTTGCTGATAAAAAAGGTTTATTATTGAATTTTAAAAGATCCAAGGGTTTTAGAAGAGAAAAAGAAAGAAAGATGGATAAAGAGGATTCTTTTTTTTTTCTTGTCCTTTGTTCTTTCTCACGTAAAATAAAACAGTGGCTGCACCATTTGTTCTTTTTCTTTTTTTACTTCTGTCTGAATATTTTATTATATAATTTATAGCCTTCTTTAGGTGCTCATTTGATATGTATTTGCTATATCAAATAGTGTTATTGTTGATACTCAAAAATGTTATTGTTGAAAATGTTGAAATTATATGTAAAATTTGTCTTTTATATGGTTCTTGTCATGTTTTGAGGGGAAATTTAATTTTTTAATAAAGAAAATTGCTATTTTCAATTAATATGCGTGTTGATTGGTATATACAACTAGGGGGTCATCATTTTCAGTCTTGCCCAGGCCTGCATCCGGCTGACACCAAAAGTCTCTTTGATCCAACTTCCTGTCCATGGCCGAGGAAGATAGGTAACATCATGTGGAAGAGTGCTAGGGTTGCAATAATCTGGGCAGTGTGGGAAGAAAGAAATGAAAGAATTTTTAGAGAAGAGGAAAGAACAAAAGAGGCCTTGGTTGAATCAATATTGATTAGAGTGGCTCACTGGCTGAAATCCTTAGAAAGCTTCTTGCATATATCCATTGATGACATCATTAGAAACTGGAAGGTGGTGGCGAACTCAAATGTCAATAAGCAGCCTGTTATTCCTATCTGGCCCCCTCCTGAAAGAGGATTTATAAAGCTTAACTTCGACGGAAATAGCATGGGAAACCCAGGAAGGTCAGGAATTGGAGGTGTATTTAGGGATGAGGAGGGTAAAGTGTGTGCAATATTCTCAGGCCCAGCAGTTGAAGGAGACTTACTAAGAGCGGAAGTAATGGCAGTTATGGAAGGGGTGCAAAGGGTTAGAACCATGAATGTTAGAAAGCTAATCATTGAAGGGGATTCCAAACTGGTAGTGGCTTGGCTACTGGATGAGGAAAGTAGGATGTGGAAATACAACAATGAGAAGAAAAAATTCAGATGGATCACAAAGGACATGGAACTGAGAATACAGTGGGTGAAAAGAATAGCTAATTCAATGGCTGATGCACTAGCCAAGCAAGGGGTTGTGAGAATTCTAATATTTTAGGCACAAATGTAATTTTTTAATTATAATTAAAATTAAAGGGGAGAGATAAGAGGGCTTGTCTCTCTCCAAAAAAAATGTTATTTATGTTATGTTTTATATTTTATATATAAATATTATAATATTACACCCATAGCACATATTATATATAATATTTTGTATTCTATAATATATAGGATAAATAGTATATATTATGTGACATCATATAAAATAGTATGTCTCTAATATTTCATAAATAAAAGTCATAGGCCTGGAACCTGGCCGAGACTATAGCCCTTGTCATAGGTGCTAAGCCTGGCCCATGTATATAAAACTAGGAAAACATGAAATTTAGATTTTATTTAATAAAATTCTTATTGTCTAGTTAATGTCTAGGTGCCCACCCAGGCAACTAGACAACCAGGTGGGTCCACTATCACCTAATATCACATAGACATCTTGTTTTTTATGTTCTCATTCTATGAGGATTCCAGTTATTTTCTGTGAGGTGGGTCCACCAGTTATTTTCTGTGAGGTAGGAGTTATTGAACTTAATTATAATGAACAGTTGAGTTATGGGAGAAAACTGGTGAGCATGAGGTTTCTGAAATTGGTTTTTCTTTGGATGAAACTACTAAATTAGATAGGAAGTTTGATTGAAGAAAGTGATTAAATTAAAAAAAAAAATGGTTTTGGGAGTGCAGAGCTAAGAAGTGGAGAGGATATGGAGCTGAGGGCATTAATGGGATGGGATGGAGGCCTCAAAACTCAAAAAGCGGAGTTGAATAAATTGTAATTTTTGAGGTAAGAGTAGATGGTGCATATGCAGGTAATTCTTCTAAGACAAATAATATGTTGAATTTTTCAGTCATTTTTTGTTCCTTTGGGAGAGAGTGCAGAAAAGATATTAGAGGATGGCAATTGAAATCCCGCAAGTTAAAATCTAATTTGATTGTATGATGGTGGCATCCAGAATTTGATTCTTGTGGTAATTCTGTTTGATTTGCATTTTTGGTGTTCTGTTGTATAGTTTGGGTTGTCTTGGTTGGTTGGTTGAATTTTTTTTCCTTCTTTTTTTATGTTTCCAAATGGTGGTTTTTGTTTGATTGATTCCTCAACACTGTTTCTATGTATTCTGGTTGTAACTTATTTTTTCCTTAATAAATGTTCTTTTTATATTAGCTTACATGAAATAATTTACAAAATCCTAATGCGTATAATTTACAGGTCACTTGTGGTACTCTAGGTCTTTCTACAGCAACTGTTAAACTCATTGCTGCTGATGGAGTGGAGCATGTTGCATGTTCAGTTGGAACAGGCCCAGTTGATGCAGCTTACAAAGCAGTTGACCAAATTGTCAAGGTTTGACATTGAAGATGCCCTGGATTTCTATTGACCAGTTTTTTCATTAGATGTCTAGTGCTTATACATTGTATTCATCTCTCTCTCTCTCTCTCTCTCTCTATATATATATATATATATTGTTTATTGCTCTTTAGATTGGTCACCTGTTCTGTGAGAATGTGTGCATCTTACAATGATTGTACACATTTCATCTACAAAATCTGGCTTCAGAAACTATTTTGCAGAGCTCACTATGGAATGCACTTTTGGAGGTATTCAAAAGAAAATGCATTCACGGTAGTAGAGAAACTAAAGTTATAAATTAGACTAGTTGGAATTATCACCATCTCATTTATCAAGATTTTGAACTTGACAAGAATAACACACTGGATCAAAACAACATCTACTATCTTTTCACACTTCACTACAGATGACATCATCAGGAAGTGGGAGGAAGTGGTGGGAACCTCAACTAGAAAGGATATAGTACAAAAATGGTGGGTACCACTGGTGAGGGGATTTATATGAATTTAGATGGTAGTATTTTTGGTAATTCAGGGTTCTTTGGGGTTGGAGGAGTTTTCAGGGATGAGAAGGGGCATCTAGTGGCTATTTTCTCTGGTCCAATTGGGAATAGGGGATTTGTTCAATGGCATAGTTGTTGGCAGTTATTCAAGGGGTGTTGCTAAAACAGTAAAGAACCTTGGCAATATGGAAATAAATTAAAACAGTTCATATGGCTGACAAGGGGTATTGAAGTTAAAATCCAGTGGGTAAAAGATCGGTAAATTAGTCTCTAAAACACCATGATTTTTTGAGCTCATGAAGAGTCTAAGAACATGTCCAAAAGATGCAGATTCATAGTTATTAGCAAATAAACACATCATTTCAGGCGTTGGAGTTGGGGCGAAGAACGAAGGATTCTTGATGGAGAAGAACGAAGGATTCACAACAACTGTAAAATGGAGAAAAGTGATTACAGCCGAGAGAAAAGGATTCTTGATGGAAGAAATTGGATACCAAAAGAATCTTACGATAAAGATAAGGGAAGGAAGAAGAGGAACAATACTGTTGGTGGGTGAAGCTGTATCATGGTTCCAGAGCTTCCTGGACAGAGCAGTACATGTAAGTTGGGGTAGGCCATGGAGGAGTTCCCATAGGCAGTTAAGGAGGGAGTATTTTGCTGAGAGAAAGAGAAACTCCAATGGCTGGTTCGTTGTTCTGGAGGAAAGTTTTGAGCAGAGAAAAAAGTAGAGGATCATCATACCAGTAGGCAACAGTTTGCAAGGCTGGAGTACGATAGCAAACGAACTTCACCGGTGAATGGCTGTGAGAAAGAAGGAAAAGATAAAGGAACCAGAAAAAATGACAACAATACTGGGAAAGGAAGAAATGACAAAGAGAAGGAAGCAATTAGAGAGGCTGGGGTTAGAAGAAAATGAAGAAAATACTGATTCAATGGCGGTGTCTCTAACAATACCGGAACCAAAGATCTTATTGGAGGGGGAGAAAGGAAGTTGGGAGCGAAGACTAAACTTGTTGGCAAAGAAGGAAGTAAATGACTGGAAAGGCTTAGTCGAGGAGGTGACTTCCAAGATTGGTACTCCTCATACTGTGATACTAATCCCCTTCAATGACAGAAAAGTTGTAATAGAAATGGGGGGAAGGGAGATATTGGACTTCAAAATTGTAGAAACAAGTGAGGGACCTGTAACAATTGAAAACTGGTGCCCATCGGCCAATGAAGTAACAATGGGCGACGGGAGCTTCAAGTTGAAGCTTCTAGGTTTGCCTTTTCATCTATGGCAAAAAACCGCTCTCCAAAAAATAGAGACAGCTTTGGGTGGTACTCTCCTATCCTTCAAGACGGTGGACTTGAGAGCAGTGAACTTGAAAGTCGCTGGTGTGAAACCTGAGAAGGTTCCAAGATCCATCAATCTGTATGCGGACGGCTACTGGTACAAAATCTAGGTAGCATCAGAAGTTGAAGCGTCGCTCTGGTATGGAAGTTCGAAGCTTGAAGACGATAGTGATGTGGCAAAGTTGGTTACAATTGGCGATGAACAAGGAAAGAAAAGTGGACACGTGTGCGGACTTGGGAAGGAAAAGTTTTTAGGGAATGAAGACATTCTCACTTTGGAAGTTGAATGGCCAGAACCAAATATTCGGCCATTTAAAGAAAAGTTTTCAAATTTTTTTGAATCCAAAAAATCTGAGGGCCCTTCTTTCGCAGAGGTAGTCAAAGGGGTGACCTAGTCGGACCAAGGGCTGGATCCATCCCGAGGAGAAAAACTTGTTTATAGGTCCCGGTCTGACCCAACTGGCGTCCTAGTGGGTCAATTGAGGTCCAACCGGGGGAGTGGTCCATATATTTTACTCGATTCAGGTGACACCTTTAAAGGTCACGTGACTCGGGTCCACTTGGGTGCGACTGGAGACTGTATGGATGATCTATCTTTGTCCTCGCAGAAAAAACAAAAGGATTCTTGTTTCATCCGAAGAAACAATGCTGACGTGAAGAGAAATTTACAGTGGATTCCAGTATCCAAATCTGATGCAGCGAACCGAGGAAAGTTGGGAGAAGAACGCCCAAATCCGAGATATTTCAGAGGTGGAAGAGAGGAGCATGAAGAGGAGGACGTTGGTTGGGTTCACTATGAATCCTCAGACGATGAATACAAACCAGAATCTGAGACAAAGAGTGACAGCTTTGGGGAAGATATGATGGAGAAAGAAGACTAGAGGACATACTTAGTGCAGCTGCTGAACTGTTCATTGGAGAACATAAGGATTTAACCTCTAATCAAAAATATCCTAATAATTGTGGAATGCTGAAAGATGCAGAGTACAATTTGGAGGATAAGAGGGAAAACGGTGTACCAGAAAGAGGAAACCCAAGTCAGAGAATGAACAGTGAGCAAGGAATGGGTAAGATAATTTCAACAATATCCAAACTTCGAACAAAGGCGTAAAAGAGGGGGATAAATGACAAAGCGATGGAAGTAGTTGTGAGTCCGAATCAGGTTCAGAAAATTCCTCGCAAAATTATATTTTGGGAGTGAATTGTGAAGTCCAGACCAGTGTTGAATCTACTTCAACTCCGGAACTTTGGGTTCTGATACTAACTCTAGCTCTGGTCTTGCTGCTTGTGCTCCAAGTTCCGGAGTTGCTTCATTACCGTTTGCCCATGATGAAATTGAGACACAAGAGAAAGAGTAGAGAGGGGAGAAAAAGAAGGGAAGGTGAGAAGGAATCAGAGGAGTCTGAATTGGAAGAAGCAGAAGAAGAGTCATTGGCTGAATTTGTGGGAAAATCGGAATGTAAAATAAGAAATCTGAATGAGCTGAAAATATACCTTAAGAATAGAAAAGAAGAAGGGAAGGTGAGAAAAAGAAAGATGAGTGAAGTTGAAAGGCTGAAGCAAGATGTGGAAGGGGATAAAAAAATCAGTGAGAGAAAGGGTAGGGGTAGGAAAGGAGAAAATAGGAAGAAAGCAGGTTAGGGACAGAATAAGAAGGCAATATGAAGATCGTGAGTTGGAATGTGAGAGGATTGGGGAATTCAAGAAAGAGGGTGCTAATAAAGGAGCTACTGAGAAAAGAAAATCCAGATATACTCCTAATTCAGGAATCTAAGCTCATGACATTTAATAGTAGGTGGGCCAGAAGTGTATGGAGAGCAAACAACATCAGTTGGGCAATGAGTCCCTCATGGGGAACTTCTGGAGGAATAGTGACTTTGTGGAAAAATGAAGTTGTTGGAGTTGAAGAATTGATTGGAAATTTCTCAATTTCTGTTAAATTCAAATAGGTGAGCGATGGTTTTGAATGGATATTAACTAATGTATGTTGGCCCCAATGGATACAGGCAGAGGAGTGAGTTGTGGGAAGAGCTAGGAGACATAAGAGGATTATGGGAAGGTCCTTGGTGCTTAGGAGGGGATTTTAATGTAATTAGATTCACTGAGGAGTGTAACAAGATGCGGCAAAGAAACACTACAAGTATGAGGAAATTCAACAAGTTTATCAATGTGTTTGAGCTCAAAGAACTGAATCTGTCGCATAGTCGGTTTACTTGGTCAAATCTCCAAGCTGATCCAATTTGTTCAAAATTAGATAGATTTTTGTTTACTACTGATTGGGAAGAATATTGGGGAGATCTGATGTCAAAGACACTGCCTAGGGTCACCTCTGATTATTGGTCAGTTTTGATTAATAAGGTGGATCCTAGGAATAGAGGACCTATCCCATTCAGATTCGAGAACATGTGGTTATTCCATCCAGGTTTTAAGGAGAAAGTGAAAGAATGGTGGGTAGCAAGTGATCCAAGGGCTAATTGGGAGGGTATGAAATTTCAGTGGAAGTTGAAGGAGTTGAAAATCAAAATCAAAGAATGGAATATTCTCCAATTTGGGAGGCTTGAGGAAAGAAAACAACAGTTGATGATTCAGATTGAGGAGCTAGATGCAAAAGAAGAACAAGGTGAGTTTGGGGAAAGGGACAAGGAGCTTAGGTGGGAGTTGAGGAAAAACCTAGAGGATGTTCTCTTCAAAGAAGAAATTAGTTGGAGACAGAAGTCCAGACATAAGTGGGTAAAGGAGGGAGATAGAAACACAAAATTTTTTCATGTTGTAGCCAATGGGAGGAAGAACTTGATATCCAAGCTAGTGATAAATGATGCAATATTGACTCAGTAGGAAGAGATTGAAGGGGCCTTTGTGGACCATTTTAAATCAATCTTTAGAAGGTCTATGTTGAGCATATTACATATTGAGGGTTTGGAGTGGCCAAGACTACTGGAAGAGTCAAGGGTGTAGTTAGAGAGAAGCTTTGAATTGGAAGAAATAAGGGTAGCCATATTTTCAATGAATTGATCTAAAGCACCAGGTCCTGACGGTTTTACAATGGGTTTCTATCAAGACTATTGGGAGATTCTGAAGGATGACATCAAAAAAGTGTTTTCTGAATTCTTTGAAAGGGGGATGATTAATCCAGGCCTCAATTCCACATTCTTGGCTC